GGGGGACATAATTCAAACCACGACAAGCCCCAACCCCACTGCTGGGTCGCAGAACTTCACCCCCATGGCAGGGTTTCTTTTCCCAGTCTGTGGGTGTGGAGATCGTGACAAAAACTCCAAGACTTTTGTCAGATTCCTCATCCCCAGGCCCACCTCTGTCCCTCCCCTGGTTCCTCGAAGCTCCCCCTGGCTTAAAGGTTGGGTTCTGGCCCTTTCTTGGAGCTTAATAAAGAGACCTAGTGTGGGATACAGTTGGGTGCTTGGTGTGTTCCATTGATCTACTTTTTTCCTTGCCAAGAACACACAGTTTGGGTTGTCATGTCCCCTCAGGTTTTATCATATCCATGCACACCTTCATTTATTCAAATTCTGATGGCCATTAACAGCACCCCTTTGCCTAAGGGCTCCCTCTGGTTTCTGGAGCCCACTCTGCAGGTTGGAAACACAAGGGAATTAATGCCCTCAGTCAACCATGACTTGGGAGTCTGTGTATAAGTACCCTAGCTCCCTCTCCACTCAGTGATGTGGTAGACACTGGGATGGGCCTCCCAGATTTCCCTTCAAGGAAGGACCTGTTGCAGGGAGGACTCTTGGCTGACTCCTTTGGAGACAGACTAAGCCGCAGAGGGCTACCTTGTCCGAAGTCATGCCCCTTTCCAATGCAGTACATCAGTGCAGGGGATAAAGATCTGGCAATCTTGGTCTAATGTGGGGCAACCAGAGGACCATTTTGGCTTCAGAGCTCCCCGTGGGGTGAGCTGTGGCTGTTGTGAGCCCTACTCAGCTTGGCGTCTCCCTCTGCCTATTCCTGCTTCCTTCCCCTCTCTCCCATGGATGTTGACCCCAATGATATTCTTTAATGAACAACTTGCATGTTAAACTCCATCTCAGAGTCCACTTCCCAGGAAAGCCAACCCACACCAGGGAGGATAACTCAGAGGCATGTTTGACACCATCTAGTCCTTGGTGGGACTGAGCCCCATTTGCCCACATCAGTCACCTGATCATCAGTGCACCCTGGATTGGCTCTTCCCCTTCTTTGTCCCACTTTCCTGCTCCTCTACTGGTGTTTCTTGGGATCACTTCCCAGGTAAACTACTTCATCCAAATCTTTGTCTCAGGCTCTGCTTCTGGAGAAATCCGAGCCAGGATAACATATCTGTTAGGGATTGAAATGTGTTCCCCCCAAATATGTGTTTAAATCCTAACCCCTGTATCTGTAAATATGACTCTGTTTGAAAATAGGAGTTTTTCTGTTGTATGAACGAGGTCATATCAGAATAGGGTAGGTCTTAAACCTAATCACTTCTGAGTTATAAAAAGAGCAGAATAGACACAGAAACACACACGGGGGAAGTCAGACTCCAAGGAACACCAAGGATTGCCAAGGAATGCCAAGGATTGATGACAGTCACCAGAAACTAGGCGAGACACTCACAGAAAGAATCAACATGTCTGAGACCCTGATTTGGACTTCTACCCTCCAGACTGTGAGAAAATCAATTTGCGTTCTTTAAATCTACTTACTTATAGTATTTTTGTTACTGTAGTACTAGGTTTAACTCAGACAATATCTCATAGTTTTGGTATCTGCTAGACATTGTTCTTCTGTCCTTTTTTTTTTTGCTTAAAAAATTAAGGTGCAATTCACATAACAAAATTAACCATTTGAAAATGTACAATTCAGTGTCATTTCAGTACATTTACAATGTTGTGCAACCACCACCTCTATAATTTCAAGACGTTTTCATCACCCCCAAATAAAATTCCATACTCATTAAGCAGTCACTCCCCATTTCCCTACCCCCACCCCATTCCCTAGCAACCACCAGTCTTCTTTTTGTCTCTGGATCACCTATTCTGGATATTTCATATAAATGGAATCGCACACTATGTTTCCTTTTGTGTCTGGCTCCTTCCACTGGGCATAATGTTTCTGAGGTTCATCTACCTTGTAGCATGTATTAGTACTTCACTCTTTTCTACAGCTGAATAATATCCCATTGTATGTACCACAATTTGTTTATCTATTCATCCATTGCTTGCAGTATCTTTTTATCTTTTTATTTTTTTAATTGTGCTTTAAGTAAAAGTTTACAGTTCAAGTTAGTCTCTCATACAAAAATTTATACATACATTATTATGTGACCCTTGTTGCTCTCCCTATACTGTGATAGCACACTCCTCCTTTCCACTCTGGATTTTCTGTGTCCATTCAACCAGCTCCTGATCCTCTCTGCCTACTCATCTCGCCTCTGGACAAGAGCCACCCATTTAGTCTTATGTATCTACTTGAGCTAAGAAGCACACTCTTCACGGGTATCATTTTATGTCCCATAGTCCAGTCTAATATTTCTCTGAAGAGTTGGCCTCCAGATGGTTTTAGTTTTGGGCTAACAGAGAGTCTGGGGGTCATGTCTTCCAAGGCCCCTCCAGTCTCAATCAAACCATTAAGTCTGGTCGCTTGCAATATATTTTTAAGATAATTTTAAAATTTACTATAGCTTTGAATATTCTAATGTAATTTTTTAATAAGTAATTGTGCACATAGAACCGAAGTATATAAATCTACACAGTGAAAACTAAGCCCCCTCTCCCCGCAACCTCTGATACAAGTGTTGTATCCTCTTTATTATATTCCAAGTAACCCACTTGTCAAGT